TATTATACTAGTATTGTTAAATTTATATCCGATTTTCTTCAAGGATAGCCTTATACTGTATATGGATACAATTAATATGGTATCAATCATGTTTACTATTTCAAAATAAAAGCTGTGACCTTAACGCATGAAATCTATTACTTTAGCACTGAATTCATCCCTATAGAATCGTATATTATTTATCGAATCATTGACTATGCTTAATGTAAAGATTACACTCATAAATCTAATTTTCACTTCCTTGCTAATTTCTATACAACTTTTTAAGATTTAATGAAGAACGATTTTGTCTCGTAACAAAATGTTATAACCTAAGTTTCGAAACTTAAAGCTTAAATTTCAGTGGGTTTTTCTTGCAATATAAATTAGTTATAGTTAGTTGAATCACGCTAAATATCCTTCGATCGATTCTAATACTTTTATTTAAATCGAAAATAACTCAATAGAATATTTTTAATAGTGCTCATATTCAAAGATATACCATAGCAATTGAATCGTCTAATTGCTCCTAAAAAAATCTTGTTTAGTTAAAGAAACTATCGACGCACTTAATATTGAAGAGAATATCATAATTTCTATCATCAATACGTCGATGTAGGTACCGTTTATCGGTAAGTTTAGGGTTAGAGTTAGGGTTAGGGATCGATATCCGTGTAACATACTACTACAGCTACCTAGAAACAGATATCTTGCATACAGTAGCTTTCTTAATTGTATAACAAATCATAATTTCTTCTACCCCATACTTAAATAGCTCTAACCTACAACAGTATGGACTTCCAAGCTGATCGAAGCTGACTCTTCATAATCTGTACCACGTAAAATCATTGAAATAGATCCCTCAATTAGGTAACAATTATACTCTTAAAACATAGCGTGATAAAAGTGAGCTTAAAGTTAAATTTAATTCTACATTCTCAAATAGTTATAATCTTTTAGCTATACAATAGAGGAATAGAACTGTTCAAGTGTTCATGGATAACTATTCTAGTACGTTATTATAACTAAAACGTCTTTGCTTAAAGTTTTCTCAAGGAGTAGATTTGCTATTCTTGCTAATACTCTCGTCTTCACAGTCTGATACATTTGCAAACTAAATTACTTTGCGAAATTACTATCGAGTAATTAAAGAAAGTAGACAGTATTTGAGAAAATAATCTATATTATAACCTTTTGTCATTACCAGACAATATTTTTGCATTATATCGTATTTTGATATAAACGAGTAATGAAATCGTAACTAATGTTGTTGAAATTTTAATTCATACCATATCTTATTGTAGATAACTTTCCAATATGCTAATAGTTAATGACTTCAGTTAATGAATAATGAAAATCTTATTTTCAAGTTCGTTATTGTGGTCATTTTTACTTTAACAATTAGAAATAAACTACAAAGCATAAGTACTTTATTACCGATATTTTCAAGGATAATAACCGAAGTAAATACTGATGTAGCAGTATCATAGGAATCTTGAGGCGAACTTTGATCTGTAAAAGTCAAAGCGTCTAATATTTAAAACGATTTCGATATGTCATTGTATATTATTATCATATCTAGAAACTTTATGATAATGCTTTGTATTAAGGCTAAAATAGTAGTTGTCGGGCTATTTATTCAATAATTAATAACATAATCTAATCCATAATCACATTGCATTAACAGACCTGATAAATCTAGCTATAAAGTGTAACTACGGTAAACTTTAGCTTTTAATCGACTTTGTATTCTCAATATCAGTTGTCTGCCGAACACTTCATGGAAACGATATAAAGAACCCCTTACAGAAAATAAGATACATACTTATTCGCAAACGAATGATAGAGGTATCCCACAAGCTACATTATTCCATTTTCCGGCTAATAGATAAACGCACTGCTCTTTGTAACTAGTTGGATAATTATCTTCCCAATTCGAATAACCAGTTTCAGCTAATGTTTTGTCAGTGGAGTACCACTGAAAACTTGTAACCGAATTGTCTCCTCTAATATCTACTAATCCTATCCAATACGTCCTAACAGAAGGACCGCCAATTAAATTTCCTATGAAGTCTTGTTTATCTTGACTGTCAATAACTACTAAACTAGCATTTAACGAATTACAATAGCTTCTAGCTTCGCCGAATTTCAAATAATCGAGGATATACTGAAGACAAATGCTGGAATTAAATGCTTTCCAGTATGTTGGACAGCTCGAACCGGCTCCTGTAATAATCCCAAAATAAAATAAGATTTAATTTGCATTTTCACGTAATTTCTAGCATAGTCCGTTTTCAAACTAAGTTAAACATGGAAGAAAAACGTCTCTTACTAATCCATAACTGTATTTAGAATTTCGCCTTTAGATTAAGTCAATAAGTAAATTTTATATTACAGCAGATTGTGTACACTTTAGCAATAGTAACCTGTCAGAAGCTTATTTGTAGTAACACATCAAGCCAATACAAACATAAGAATATAACAAAACTAGTTAATAATTAGAATTCGACGTAAAGTATGTAGAATTATTATTCTTAATCTAAAAGCGTAAAGATACTCTACGATGTTTACTAGCAGGAAGTACGGCGAATAGACGTAAATTAGTCTACTTAAATCATACAACATACCAGTATGAGTGTAATCACAGAAACCATAATGTCTCCTGAATAAGATCGAATGCACTGAAACGCTATACGGGTGTACTATAAAATTAAAGTAAACACTTGCGGCCTATTTTTGTTTCTTTCATTACAACATGAAGCAGACAAGATTAGTTATCACAGTAACTGTAACATATTAATATGATTTTGTATCCAAAGTAGCGTAAAAGAAAGACCATATCTAGTTAACTCAAAACATTGTGCAACATTAACTGAATAAATGATAAACAATATTTCCAGAACAGAACTAATAAACAGTAGTAGAATCATTGCTTTCATTTAATGTCTAGTTTAAAATTTCCCGTTATTACGGTACCTTTGCATCACAGAATTTTTTTAAATAGTCCTGAATCTAGAAAAATATTTATTTTAATTTATAACTTTCCTAACTTTACCTATATGCATCTCATATACGGATTGATAGACGTAACTACATAGA